CTATCTCTATCTCTATCTCTATCTCTATCTCTATCTCTATCTCTATCTCTATCTCAATCTCAATCTCAATCTCTATCTCAAATCGAAAACTCTAGATTTACTGTATATTGATTTCAGAGTAATATATATAGCTTTAATGTGGTCAAAATAGATTTTCCTTCTTTAAATGGGTTTTAACGTAAATAAATTAAAGAATTTGAAATATCCATTTAGGCCAATAGGCATTAGAGTTAACTATCGATAACTCCCTATAGGACTCTTGACAGTTAATCATGTTAGTCTATTGACAGTTAACCGTTAATCGATAATCAACGATAGGAAGAGCGAGTATCCGTAGTATATTCTAGACGAAAATCGAACGACTCAGTCGAGCCGAAAGTGACAAATTATAAAAATACTTTGACATTAACATTTTTACAAGTATGTATATATTTTCTAAATTACAAAGATTTCTTTAATTTGCTGTAGTTAAATTCCTTAAAGCGCATTTGATATTCGCGCCGTGGAGCGCAGCTGGCGACAGTTGAATCTGTTGCTCTGGCGTATGCAAATTTTACGCCAAGTTTAATTGTTGCTTAAGACACACACACACACCCATAGTGAGTGAGAGAGAGAGAGAGCTGTGGCATCTCATTTGTATCTTGTATCTGCTGCAATAAAATGCAGCAGCGCAAACTTTTTGCCGTTTGCTGAAAGCGAAAGTCAATGAAGGTGGCAGCGAGTGCATAAACGTGCACCTGCCAAACACACACACACACACACAGAGACAGAGAGAGAGAGAGAGAGAGTGTGTGTGTGTGTGTAAAGACGCGTCCTTGAGGCACTCCATAGCAACAACAACTAGAACTTTGTAAAACTCTCAATTTTCACGCTACTTTGCTCTCATTGCAGAAAACAACAACAGCAACAACAACAGCAACAACAACAGCAAACGTAGCTGAAGAAGAGCAAGAGCTAGTGCAAGTCTTACAAGAGGAAACAAGAGCAACAGCAGACCTAACATCATGTCCAGTCTGCCACGCCGCATCATCAAGGAGACGCAACGTCTGATGCTGGAGCCCGTGCCCGGCATCAATGCCATACCCGATGAGAATAATGCACGCTATTTCCATGTGATTGTCACCGGGCCGAACGATTCACCGTTCGAGGGCGGCATCTTTAAGCTGGAGCTCTTTCTGCCCGAAGACTATCCGATGTCGGCGCCCAAGGTGCGCTTCATCACCAAGATCTATCATCCGAACATTGATCGCTTGGGCCGCATCTGTCTGGACGTGCTGAAGGACAAGTGGAGTCCGGCCTTGCAGATACGCACGATTCTGTTGTCCATTCAGGCGCTGCTCAGCGCGCCCAATCCGGACGATCCGTTGGCCAACGATGTGGCCGAATTGTGGAAGGTCAACGAGGCGGAGGCCATACGCAATGCACGCGAATGGACCCAGAAGTATGCGGTCGAAGACTGAAGCGCCACCGACTGTGGGCTGGGGGTGCGGGCCAATGGTGGGGAACGGAACGGGATGGGGGGAGGAGGGAAGTGCGAACAATGAACACGACGACGACGAAGAAGAAGGAGGGGAAGGAGAAGAAGTTGAAGGCGTGCGAGTTGAAGTTGAGCAAGGAGAGAAAGTGGAAGCTGGAGCTGGGCCAGGGCCAGGGACAGGGGAAAAGGGCGGGCTTGTAACTTTATACATGAGTGTGTGTGCGTGTGCTTGGGGGAGTGTGCAAGTGGGGGGCTGTGTTTAAGGGGAACTGCAGCAACAAAACTGAAACGAAATGCAAATTTCTATCAAATAATTATCTAAATGAATATATATCTATATATATATATATATATATCTATATATACACGATAATGTTGCTGCAGTTGGTAATGATAATGAACTAAAATATAAACAAAGCTGATGTTAGAAGAGACGCGCGATAAACGCGAAGCAAAAAAAACAAAAAAAAAAAAAAAACGCATCTAGAACTCTGTTAGATGTTGTATACAATAATTGAGAAGCTAGGCGAACGGAGTTCTAACGGAGCTACCCCCACATGAGAACATGAATAAATACAACAAAAAAAGTAATAAAATAAAAAAGAAAAGAAAAGAAAAGAAAAGAAAAACGAAAACACATTTCCCATCTGCAATAGGTTCGATCTATACAAAATAAATAAAATCTTAACGTGAAGCGAATCAATACGATATAGAACTATTCTAGACATTTGATATATTGAACATTGTTCGAACATGTAGACAGAGCAAATAACAATAATACCCTATATACTGCAATATAGCGTAAACATGGCTTTCGGGAACCGAAACACAATCCTTTGCATCAATCAAACGAAATGAAATCGAATCAATCAGCGAATCGATTGATTACTCGAAACGTAACTCAATCGAGGGATTCGAACTCTGAGAGTTAATCCGTTTCCGTTAACTCTCTATTTTGATTTTCAGATTCTTTTTGTGTTTTTGTTTTTAGTAGTTTTTTTTTTTTTTTTCAACTAAAACTCGGTTGTGTTCTGGGTCCTCAGCTTTTGATCAATGTGTACGACATCAATAAGAATAAACGAGCCTTTTATGGAATTAGTACTTTACACAACAAATAATATTAAATAAATAAAAATCAAAATTAAAAATTAAAACTTTGCATTTTTATTGAAGATCTGGAATGGAACGAAATGGAGTGGGGACTTTAGGAAATATTTTCTGTGAAGCGGAAAATTTTGTTTTAAATGGAATCTAATGAAGTTTGGAATGGAACGACATGACGGAATGGAACACAATTGTATGTGGTAAGCTAGTTGAAATGAAATGGCATGGAATGTTGATATTTACAGTGGAATCGAACATAAAGACATTTATAATGAGCCATGAAATGGAATAGAAATGTATTTGGAATGATATGGAATGGTATGGAATGGTAGTTGAAATGCTATAGAATATTATGGTACTTTCACTATATATAACACATTTAGATAATACTCGTATTTGGAATGGAACGGAATTCGATATGGAATGGAATGGTATTTGAAATAAACTGGTATAGTTCTTTGGTGAGTTCATAATGGTATTTGGAATGATATGGTATGGTAGTTGAAATGCTATAGAATATTATGGTACTTTCAGTGAAAAGTAACACTATATATAACATATTTAGGTAAAACTCGTATTTGGAATGAAACGGAATTCGATATGGAATGGAATGGTATCTATATAAAATGGTATAGGTATTTGGTGAGCTGATATTGGTATTTTGGAATGATATGGTATGGTATTGGAAGCAAAATGGAAAGGTATTTGAAACGAAAAGTGGTATGGAATGATGATGATATTTAGGGATTTAAATAAATATATTGCATTTGGGATGGTAACTATTAATACTTAAGGTTAAAGAAAGTGGAATGGAATGCTCTGGTAGTTATATGGAGCACTACGTATTAAATGAATGAAATTGACTTGCAACGATATATGTAGAGTTTTATACTGAAATGGTATGAAGCTTGGCATGGAAAAATAGAATAGTACTAGAAATGGTCTATTAACGGAGTGCGATGATATCAAATTGACAATGAACTGAAATGATGTATGGAATACAACGAAATGGAATAGAGTGAAATATTGAAAGTGATATGATGTAAACTAGTTTCGAGAATCATATGATATGAGACTCATATGTGAGGAGCTTCAATACATACATCTAAGGCTAAGGAAAACTAGAACGAACTATTAAGAATAGTTTTATAAAGCATTGCGATATCAAAGAAGTCGAATTAGAGTATAGGATAGATAAAATGTTCCATAATGATTACGCCTATGGACTTCTAGGGACTACATAAGAGTATATAGTAGATGGGAGTACATAGAGTAGATGGGATTCGAACACTAGATCAGAACTTGAGCAAATCTTAGCTGTAACTATTTGAGTATTTGAATGTTTATCAAATATATCTACATCTATGTATGGCTATATGTAGACATATCCTTAACTTGACCCTGCTGAGCTCTGCTTGTGCTGTGTCCTGCTGCAGTTGTCAATCATCCAGCTGCATGCGGCGTGGGCGAACTCTCGCATGGGGTGGCTGAGGTCGGGTCTGAGGTGGGGGATGCGAATCCGAATGCGGGCGTCTGTCTGGTGGGAGTGCGAAGCCCTTAACCCCTTTTTTAGAGGGTGGCCAAATTGTTGGCCACACCCCGTGCCGTTAGCATATGCCTGCTGATTGGATGCGCGTTGCTCTGTCTCTTGTTCTTGTTGTTTCTCTTGTTGTTTCTCTTGTTGTTGTTGTTGTTGATTCGCCTCTCGAGGCTGTTGCAGAGCCGGCTCTGGTCATGGTTTTGGCTTTGCCTTTACCTCTGACCAGACCGAGGCAGTCAAATGTCGAACCTAAAAGATTTTTTTTTCCTACCAGCTCTCTCCCACTCTCTCTTTCTCTCTCTCTCTCTCTCTGTCTCTCTCTCTGTCTCTGTCTCTGTGGCGCTGTCTGTGTGTGATGTATTCTTTTTTTCTGTGTTTTGTTTCCAGTTCCATATAACTTTTTATCGCATTACACACACACACACACACACACAGACACTGCTCGGGCATGGTCAACGCATATGCAGAGTGTCTAGCGCTAGACAGAGGGCGGCGCGGGGCATCGGCGGCTTTGGCTGAGCGCTTGAGGTGAGGATTTTTATCGGCAGGCAGCTTCATTGTGTGTATTCGCTATGTTTGCATAGACAAAGGCGCGCCCGGTCACCGTTTGGCAGGCGACGGTGTGGAGGTGTAGGGAGGGGGTAGGGGGGGGGCGTGGCCAGGTGGCCTAGGCGCCAGACGCGACTCGACTCGCTTCGGGTTTGGCCCCAGCTATTAATCGCTTTCAAGTTGAAAGTCCACAGTGCACCACGGCGAGCTGCATGTGTGTGGCACCTGCTGCTGCGGGCCAAACTTCGACCCACCCAAAATGCCCGCCTACGTGTGTGTGTCTCTGTGTATGTGTGTGTGTGTGTGTGGCTAGTGCTGCAGCAGTCGCTAGATAAGGCATTGTCCCAGCTCCATAAGCCGGAAACATTAGGCCTCACTTCGATCGGCAGTCACAGCTACTACCGCAGCACTACCGCAGCTCTACCGCAGCACTACCGCAGCTCTACCGCAGCACTACCTCGGCTACCGTCTCAGCTACTAGCGCAGCTGCTGCCTTGGCCTTGGTCTCGGTCTCGGTCTCGGCCTCGCTGATTTATGTGACAATTTTTGCGTTGCGCTCATAATTCGTGGCGCGCTTTATCTGGCCGATCTTCCAGCCGGAACGTTCAGCTGCTATCTTATCGAAGCTGTGGCCGCTTATCTATGCATCTACCCAACGAACGAACGGGTTCTGGTTGGCCCAAGCGCAATGTTAATTGGTCGCAGCGATTTGGCTGTCGGCCAGTGTTGGTTAATGTTGGCTAACATACATGGTTAGAGTTGCTAAGAAGTTGTTAAGGTAGTTCGATGGAAATTGATTTCGAATTTGGGCTTATGGTTCCTGTACTAGTGTTGGAAAATGCAACAAATAAGGTAATTTGAGTTGTTGATGGATAGAGTAGACTGGCTAAAATGTGGTTTAGGCAGTTAGTTAAGAAATTATTTAGAATTTGATTTATGAATCATCTATTAGTGTTGGAAAATTTAAAAAATTAGGTATTTTAAGTGTTTTAAGATGACTAAAAACGAGGGCTACACTGTCTAAAATGCTGTTTAGGCAGTTATGAAATGATTTAGAATTTGATTCATGAATTAGTGTTGGAAAATGTAACAAATAAGGTATTTAGAGTGTTGGTGGATAGACTAGACTGGCTAAGATGCTGCTCAGGTAGTTAGTTAAAAATTGCTTTAGAATTTTATATATGTATTAGTGTTGGAAAATGTAACAAAATACGATATGCTAAGTGTAGGTAAGCTACTAAAACCGAAGGCTAGAGTGGCTAATTACGAACAGATTTAGATTATGGCTCGTTGGCGTTGCTGTTCTGCTTTATTAGTGTTGGTAAATGGCTAAGAATGAGGCATAGAAAAGCTAAGAGGTAGTTTAAAAAGTTGCGTAGTAATACTCGCATAAAATGTGTGAAAATTCTGTTCAGATTTATGCGTCATGTGGCATTTAGTGTTGGAAAATCGGGCAAAGAAAACTTTTTCAATGCTGGCAAAGGGCAATTAGGTAACACATAGGAACTCTAAATTCCAGTTATATGCTGATAGATATTCGAGGCAATGCATGTGCAGTGTTGGTAAAAGACTCAATCTACGAGCCGACTAAACAATGAATGAATTCTCTTGCAGTGCTGAAAAGTGAGCAAAGTAAATATCTACAGCTGCTGGCATATTCAGTGTTGGCTAACAGCGAAAGGTGTTGTCTGCAAGAGTGGCTGATGCTACTACGAATGCTTTGAGTAAACTTAAAGAACTTGCTGATTAAGTGAGAAGAAACCTATTTGTATATATGTATGTACATATATATACACGCATATACACACATACATATATAGACTGTCTGTATGTATGTACATACGCACTGAATTTGCACTCAACTATTTATCTATTTAACTGTGTAAATTATCT